TTATTCTCTTGATTCAAGCTTTAAGAGACCTTAGCCCGGAAGAATGGCACAGTTAACCTTATTTGATTTGATAGAGTTGGCAACAAACATTTTTTTTAATTTCGTAAAAGAATGAGATGAGTCGAATGCGAAGCGCGGTGTTACTTAAATGAAGAAAGAAATAAGAAATACTGCCACTATAAGGACACGCACTTCCTAAATCGTCATGCCAGTATAGATCTAGAATCGGTCAACAATGACTATCTTTTTAGAAGAAAATGAAAGTTTCGGTAATGCTAACCTTATATCTAGATGAGTAAGAGAAGGAAGGTTGGCGAAACCAAGAGGCTGGACATTCTCGATGCGATTTCCTTGCACATCTATTGAATACAAATCGTTGAGCCCCTCGAAAAAGTCGGCTCGGATTCTGGAATTAGTTATTAAAAAGGTTATTTTGATGTATATGTTGCACCAACTGCTCTATTACTTGACTTATTACAATAAGACAAAAATAGCTTCTATAAACTACACTGTACACCGATACACTAGAGGATAAGATTATAGAAAAATTTTATATGATAACCTGAACATCGACCTCTTAATCCATCCTAATATTGGCAACAGAATTACAGTTATAACGAGCTTCGTCACAAAAGTTCTAAATGACGCTTCTTTGCCTAATTTATGTAGAATACGCATAGGAATTTTCCGGGCAATTTTCAGAAGAGCATATCTCGTATCTGTTACGCCCCTTAACTATCAAGTCAGCATCGACTTTTTTACTGTAAAGCTATTCGTAATCTACAAATGGTGGGCGCGTGCCGACAGGGGCTGGCCTATATTGTTTGCAGTTAGCGGATTCGACCACACCTCACGGCGATCGGATAGCCAGAGTAAATAGTCTCCACATGCGGGCTACCAACAGATACAACAACTGCGTATACTGGAAGTGGACTGACTAAAAAGGGGAAGAGGAATCAGATGACATACTGCGAGAGGCGGTTTTTATTCAGCACAATAGCTTGGATTTGTGGAGTCCGTTGAAAAGCTCCACGTTCAATGGTATCGATGGCAGCCTCGGACATCTCCAACCGGATTAAGTGAGGTATGTGCTGGAAAACAAGTTTGACTAAAAGTTAGCTTGTCTGCAAACAAGACTGAGACGTTTTTCGTGGAATCACCCAAATACAAGCTTCATATTAAGGAACTTCTAAGAGAATGTCAGCGTTATTCTGCTATAGTAGCTACCGGACAATTTCTCTTTCAATTTATTACTGTTGCCTATTCGATCTGAGAAACCTCTGTTTTCTTAGTTCGCAAGTCACTGCACAGGTCCATCAAATTTAGTCTTGAGTGAAAGTAGACAAAACACTTCTATTCAGTTTTTACTTTAACAATAAAAGGCAGAAAGATTCCTTACCATGAACGCGTTGTTGGGAATCACAGATATAGGGGTCTCTCCAATACCCAGGGTTCTTAGCTGAGTTATATATCTAAACATCTCTGGGGCCCATGACGGGAACTTATTTCCTGTTAGATACAGGTACTGTAAGTTTGGCACACCCTAGAAAAGATTGTGTTTGTCAAATGTCAATCACCTGTACAGTGAGAAGATGAAATTGACATCCGTACCTGGAAGGCTTGAGGAGGAATAACCGTAATCCCATTGAACTCGAGGGAAAGCGATGTTAGATTTGGGAAGTCCAATGCACCAACTGGAACCTATATAAACCATCGCATTGCAGCGCAAAAAAAATACAATGGAGGAAAATTTCCAAACAGACCTCATTGATGTTGTTCAATCCAAGATTCAAATTTGTAAGCGTGCCTCGCTGATTGACCAGAGCAGCTGATGGAATCGAAGTGAGCGCATTTGTCTCCAGGGAGAGTTCCTGTAGAGGAAATTTCAAGTTATCAATTAATTGTCTTCACTTTTGGAGAAAGATCAACGTCTTTTGGAAAGCTAGCAAAGGAGTAGTTCATAACTGTCATTATCTTAACTTTTTCACGTTTCA